AAAAAAAAAAAAAAAAAAAAAAAAAGAAAAAACGCTTACGTAAGATCGTGGCCTCGAAAAATCGAGCGCGAGTCGTGAAGAGCGCGATAAAACGCCATTACATCGGCACGCGGCCCTCATCATCTGGAAATTACGCTGGAAGATCGAGCCGATATCCTGCCTCGCATCATTTAAATGCCTCCGTGACGAGTCTCGACCTCGTGTTTCTTCCTTTCTCGTTGCTCACAGGCGAGCGTGTAGTTCATCAGACGTCGGTGAAACGAGAACGGAATGGAAAACGAAAGAAACGAGAGGAATCCGGAAACGAACGATACACGAAATTTCAAGGAGATCCCGGGATTCCGATCATTTCCTGCGACGAACAGGTCAACGATTCACGTGAGAATTCGTGGTCACGGTGGTTGAAGATTTTAGCAAAATTTTGACCAACTGGCCAAACCCTATTGTTCTTTTTATGAACTTGATGAACTGAACTGGCACTCCATATTTCTTCGAAATATTTTTACATAGCAAAGTAACGATGTAATATCGAATGAAAGAGGAATGAAAATTTCGTGAAAATATCGACAAACTTGTTCCACTTAATTGGAAAATACGTCGCGTATGCTTTAATACAAATGGAGCACGTATTTTCCAACTAGTAACTAAATACTTTCTTCGGCCGTGAAAAGGACAGATCGAGTGTAATACTTCCTCGATCCGTCGTGTTTCCTCGCTCACCCTGCTGGCAAGCAACGGCACGAAATACAAAATACATAAATTCGAAGGTTGGTCAGCAGCAGTGAAAGTAAGAGCCTCTCTCGTGTCCTCCCCTCGATCGGTCGGTGCAAGGATCCTCGTCGTCGTCGTGCCGTTTCCTTTGAGGCATTTCTCTATTCAGAGCTGCTGTCCGCGCGGGCTCCTCTGCACGGCGGCTTTCCGCTTCGCCGAGGGATTTGCAACGCGCGAACTGGGTCAGCACGACGTGCAGCTTGACCTGTATAATCTTTCGGCTCTACCTGCCGTGTCACGTAGTGCACACCACCTCATTAAACGGCAGTCGAGTACGCTCGCAACACACATTTCACGATCCGGCTGCGGGAGAGTGGTTCCTTTCGGCCTTAATGCATCGACACTTTGAATATTTCATCTTTTCTCACTCACGATTTATTTATTTACTTATCTTTCTTTTAGAACACGCTATTTTTAAAAGTTTTGGAGCAGTTCCTTGATCGATAAAAATTCTTCGTACATCATTCTGAGAAGCAAGGACTAGAATTGTGCCATTGACTTTCAGTCTTGGTATTAGTATCACAAACGGATAATAATTCAAGAAGCTGTCTTTCGCTTCTCTTTCTAGATCTCTTGAAGTTACCGAGGGAAATCTTTCTGCTCAATTTATTTAAACTTAATCCTAACGTTCTTTGAGAGGGTAATAAAATACAACGTGTATTAGGCTTGTATTAGACTCGTCAGTTTGCGAATATTGAAATCAACAAACGAGACGCGAGCGGCACAATTTGAAATTGAAATTCATCGGTGCTTGAAACAGATTTGCCGGTTAAATGCTCGTCCAGTTTACGGAGTTTCAATTATAATTCCATAACTCGAAACCGGCAATCTTCACCAGCTTAACTACCGCTTTAATCCGCGAGGTAGAGAGTTAATAACGCGGCGACGAAAGATATGGATGGCGGATGTTGCACAGGTGAAAAACTGCTTTGCCCGCTTCAGATCATCGTCAGATCATCAAAGAATCATCGGATAATTCTTGGCAAGCTCAATGAACCAGATTTAAAATTTACTTCATAACACGGATATACAAAGGGAATTAAAATAATTCCAATTATGTTAAAATATGATCGCATCCTAAGAAACGATAGAAGTTAAATTGACATTAGGTTAGATAGATGATTATTTAGTATATTAATACTAGTACACCAGTAATCTCAAATTTGATTTCATTGTCTAATTTCAACAATTACAATGAAATTTATATTCACAATTTTGTAGACAATTGACTTAATTTAATATTAATTTAATCTTTCATCTCTCTATGTAATACATGAACGGTCAAGAATTACTCATCTAATCTAGATCATACGTTTTGTATGAGATCAATAGGTCTCTTAATATTTAATAATTTTCGCAATTGAATAACACAAATTATTCGAATGTTCAGGCAACAATTTTCTTCCTTTAACTCATGTATCAAGAAAAAAAAAAAAAAAAAGAAAAAGAAAAACGCGTTTAATTTCAAGGTAAATAGCTTCCGTAGAGGGTTGAAGGTATCACCGTGTGCCATCTGCCAGCCGCGAGACGTTGGCATAGCGAATCGAAGAACTGGAGGGCGAGGAAAGAAGCGAGGTGAATATTGAGAGGATGAAAGGAGAGAGAGAGAGAGAGAAAGGGTGAGAAATAACGGAACAGAGAATGATGAAAGTTAATGAGAGAAACAGAGAGAGCGAGAGTCGTTGTAAAAGGGGAAAAACGAAGAGCTAATAAGAATGAGAGATATGTAGTTGAGAGAGAGAGAGAGAAGAAGGGAAAGTGAAGGGAATTGGTGAAGAAGAGAGAGCTGAAAAATTTCAAGAGAATAAAGAACGAAGGATATTTATTAACTTGTTATATAATATATTCGATAGTTAGTGCCTCGTTATATAATATAATATTCGATAATTAGAATGAAATAATCTGGAGAAAAGTCATTTTTTTTTTTACGTTCAAATGATATTTAGCCAATTCAGCCATTTTTTTTTAAAAATCAAATAATATTTAAATATTTTTTATAATATTAAATATAAAAGAATTATATCAATTCATCATTTACGAAATACATATGCATTTGCAATAATGTCGAAGCTCCGAATGACAGATTTATGTCGCTAGAAGAATTATATTATTAATACTAACATTGCACATAACAATGATAATCGATTGAAATCAACCGAGATCATTTGTTTCCCTACGACACTGAGAGAAGTTTAAAAAAAATTGCAGAGGCGGCTGTTTTAATTCTTCTTGATTATTACCAATTGACAATTACTTCAATGTAATTTTTCTGCCCCCTAAACGAGAACCAATGCAACAAACGACTTATATAAAAACACACGCACACGAAAATAACGTAAAATAATAATGGCGCGAAGAGACTAGCCTGGAGAGAAATCCAATCAAAAGTTTTGAAATCCAAACGAAAAGGGGATGGGGGGGGGATGAGAATAGAAGAGAAAAAGACAAACGCAGAAAGGGTGACGTGATAGAATGGTTCT